ACCGAAAATACAACATAAGAGATTGTTCAAGCAAAGTATAAGCGATGGCATTAATTATGACAAATGCCCTTATGGTGTTAGACCAATTGTACAACAATTTAGTTAGAAATGGAGCATATCCAATGTTAACCTTTATTCAAATGTGAAAATTATATAATTATTGTTTTTGCTTAGTAGATTCATGCACAAATGCAAATTCAACCCAAACAAATTATGATTTTTTTTTTCGCTGAAAAACCAATAAAACATATTGGAAAAATTTTTTGACCTGTTTCTATAAGAAAAATTTAAGACCAAAGTCGACATTTTGAATTTAAAAAAAAAAAAAAAGTGCAATACAACTCTTCTAAGATTTAAACTTACATTGGTGATTTGGAGATACTTAATTGCATAGGGCATTCCATTTGGGAGGAATCATAAAAGTCTTGAAAAAATGCACATGTTCTTATTGTAGCAAAAACCAAAAATGCAAAACGTAGAAATTAGGAATAATGGCTTCTCCTTCGTCCAAACAATTCTAGGCAGCTGGTTAAGTGCAAAAATCTGAAAAGCTCAACCAAGAAGCTTCACCAAACACGACCTTAGTATGAGAGATGATTGACTTGCAATTTATTGTACGACATAATCTTGGCCATACTATACCTATTTTATACAAAAAGCAGCATGTAGCAATATTTTTGTCAATGATTGTGCCTAGTCCAGTACTATTATCTATGATTTCTTCAGAATATTTTTGTCATTTTAAATAAATAAATAGTATATTAAATACCACCATCTTATTTGCTATAAATTATAAGTCCTTTGAAGCAAATAATATACTAAATGCTACTATTTGTGAGATTTCCCTTGTCTGGCAATTTTTCTTTTCAGGTGAATAGCATATTAAATAATAGTATATGTGTAAGATTTCCCACTTCTCCACTTTAAATTTTGGTTCTCACCATTTTCTGCTTCTCCTTTCATAAATTTTCAAAAAGCAGAAACCATCTTTTATAAAACCCACTTGCCCCTTTTACAAGTATATATAAACTCTTCTAGTAGATGCCAACAATTAATTACCTTAAGCTTACAATTCAAATGACTGTGAACCCCTTCAAATTTTTAAAATATGTAAACTGACCATTTAACAATTTGTTAATATTTTAAATGTTTAAGATGCATAGACAACAATTCGACTGCCTGGGACGGATAAATTTTTAAGCTCTCCCAAACACCACCTTATAATGTGGAAAATTGCAGCCAAATATACCAAAACCCATCAAAGTGGTCTATGTATAAACCTTCCCTTTGAATTTGATTGCCAAAGTTGTAAGCTTTTAATCCAAACAATGGTAAGATATGGAACGTTGGCAAGAGAGATCATTTACATTTACACTGCATAACTCTTATTACAAAGTTGAACGAAGAAAACAAGCATCGATGCAATATTGCAATCCAGGTGAGGTGAGGTGAGGTATCAGACCCAAAACGTTGTCAACCATTTTGCAAGGTTGAAGGGTAATACACGTAATTTTGAGTGATAGACAGTGACAGAAATGGAATATGCGGGCAGGAGTAAAGTAGTAAACTAATGGAACTAAATACTAATGGACACAATAAACATGGACATTGCTTTTAAGTCATTGGGATATAGACGTCGTTGCGGCGTCCTTAGACTGTGGAGTGGGGAGAGAGAGAGAGAGAGAGAGAGAGGACATCGTTAATCAAATTAAATTGCGTGGTTCAACAGTTGAAGCCAGAGGTGGGGAAAAGCAGGGTCAGTGTTTAGTACAAGGCACCGAATCATTCCTCGACAAGCAAAGGTGGGAAGTAAGGACTAAGGACCGATTCTGATTGCCTTTCCCAAGAGGAACAAAGCTCTCCAATCCGACCAAAAAACAAGCAACCCAAAAAGAGGACTCAGAGATGAGAAACCCATCAAATAGAATGAGAATCCTGAATGAATATCCACCACCTTTTGTGGAGAAAAAGTGTTCTCAGAGGATAGAATCGAATGAAAAATATATCATCAGTCATCACCACAAGCATCAAACGGTGGTCATGGTGGAACATGCAAAAGCCTCACCGCTCAGTCTCTAGTAATATGGGGTGCCTTGGCTATACATGGACTATGGATTCTTACCAAAAATGTGTTATCTGACCCCACTTCATAGAAGGGGCTAGTTCGTGGCAGGGTATGGTCAAACCATGTTGGGTTTGGGTTAAACCCAAACCAACCAAACCCAGTTGATGCTTGATATTCGTCCGGCCAGTCTGTTGTCCAGTGCGAGCAACTGGAACTGGAAATAATGATCCTTTATTTTCTTGTTTTCTGCGGCGCCGATCCATTGTATTTGGATATAGAGTCGGTATTGTTCCCTTGTTCATCCTTCTTCTTCACGGGTTTTTGAATTTTTCTAAGCACGTCAGCTTGTCCTTTTCCTCACAATAAGTTGAGGTGGGAATGAACAATGGTGCCATATATTGTTTGATTGGGGCTAGCTGCACCAGACAAAATAAGGAAATATTGGACTGTTTAATTTCCAGCCTAAAATCATGGCTACTTTGCTTGTTAGAAGTTGAACCGGATAGGACATAATAAATCCAGAAACCTTGTTAATTTGCTTGATGGTTAACCGGTGGTTCAATCATTCAATCCATAACATATACAACAATGAACAATGTCCAAAAGAAACAGAAGTTGAAAAGCTCAATGGGTCACCCCTCATCTGTTCGATCTTATGTTTAAGTGGATTGTCTGTATTTTGTTTGGGGATTTAATTCTGTTGAGACTGAGAGAGTTTTCAAACCACCCAATGGCCTCCCATTGTCCCAGTTCAAATTGGCAATCCGTCAAACACAGGATTGTCTATATCACCCCACGCTTACTTCTTTCACATGGTGGGACTGTTTGGCAGATTTGAATCTTTAGGCCCACAGCCATGTTACTATGAGGAAGATTAATGCTTCTTTTGGATTTCTCTGGATTACCCATCGAGTACACAACCATTTTGGGTTTTTCTTGCTTGATAAATACTACTTCTTCATCATCATTTTGGTTTATGTTTTTTCATTCATGGGCTTCACAGTTATAATTATGAAAAAAACTGTAATTAAGGAAGGTTTAATTTTGGAGAGTTGGAGCTTGAAATTTTACGAAACGAGGGGCTACAATTAATTGATTAATTTGAAAGTTTTACAACTGCTGAATTGACAGAACTGAATTGCTTTTGGTTTGTCTTATAATGGATATATCAAGTAGTAATTAATATAACGAAATATTTAGGGATAAAATAATTATGCCGACATGGTAATTAGCAATGAATTAATTTTTAGCCTATTTAATTTTCTCACTTACACAATTGACTAAAGTTATTCTCATATTTTATTAATAAATATATATATAGAGAGAGAGAGAGAGAGACATTGAAAATAGATAAGGAGAGATTTGAATAATATGTTGCTCCTCCTTTGTGGGAGGGATATGAATGGGATTATTATGAGAAGACAAGCAATTATGTAAGGAGTCCTACCTCACTGAATATTCAGTGAATGGATATTTAAACTAGTCTTCCTTTTAGACTGTTTTCACACATGACAACTAAGTTCCAACCTGAGATGGATTTACTGGGGTGTCTCTCTCTCATCTCATCACCCTCAATTTATGCTTTGTCTATCTTTGACAAGAACAGGTAGAAATCAAATGCACAGTAATAGAATATTTGGGCCAATTACAGTAGGCCATATCAGCTCCATACCCATAGGATCCATGTATCAGGCTAGCATGCATAGCTTTTTCCATATCATCTTTCCACGTGGCAAAAGCCCTATATTGACATAAAGATGAGATATCTGCTTACATTTGGGAACCTCGGATTTTTTAGGCAAAATGAGTCCCTTCTATGTGGGTCATAATCTATTACTCACCCCACCTCCCTTTTTCCAGTTTGAAACTTTGAACCACCTCTGGGCTGTGAGAGAGATGCCTTTGGCCCTTTGATTGCCTTTTGCATATGGGGAGCAAGGGGCCCTCTGAATTGCTTTGTAGTCTGTCCACTCCCAACATTATATGCCACCACGTACTGCACCTTGTCCTGCATGTTGCGTGATGCCATTTAACTGATTTTAACCATTTAACCCATAAAAATACAAGCTTGAAAACAAAAAGAAAGAAATGAAGTAAGAAAGAAAGACCCTCTCTTTTACCACAGGACGCAGGGCAGGAAGTAAGCAAGAGAAGAGACTTCCAGATATTAATTATTCATCCGTTTTCAATATATATTTAAAGGCTAATCAACTTATTAATTTTCTTATGGGGCCTCTTATCCATAGCTAGAGAGTAGCAATACAACTCCCCAGAGCTACAAGCATTAGATCAACAGAGTGACAGACCACAAAAAAAAATAAAAAATAAAAAATATGGGGTCTTTTGGATATTAAACCACATCTAAACCCTTTTCATAATTAATAACAATAATAGTACTGAGATAGATAACTCTACATTTTGTCTTGTGAATGTTTAAGATTCTTTTTTTTTTTTTTAATTTTTCTCTGCCAGGAGAGGAGGTCCAGGACTATTATTCAAAGTATTTAGTATTTTAGAAATATATTAAGTAGTGGAGAACATTCGAAGCCCACCATTGACATTGGAAGGAAGGCTTACACGTGAGCAGAAGGCAAATAAAGAAAATAAAGGACCCAACCAAAAAAGGGAAGAATGAGGAATCCAATATTAAAATAGAGAAAAAATAAAAAATATATATTTTATTTAGTGGTCAAGTGGGAATGATCATTTTGTTCTATTTTTTTCTTTTTTGTTTATTTTTAATTTTTCTTCCTCGGACAAGGCCTTTTAGTCCTATTTCGGTGACTATTTTGCTTTTCAGAAATTATATATATATATATGTAAATCAGTAGAACTTTTTAATTCTTAGCAAAGTAAAATAAAATAAAAGTTCTTATTTCCTAGGCATGATGTAAGAAGAGTGGAGGGGGCTTTCTACGAGGGCTCGGGTGGGGGGGGGTTCTATATAAAATGGAATAGAACTCGTTTTCGGCTCATCCTGACATCCTTCCTTTTGTTTGAAGATATCGTTAGTTCACACAGAGAGGGAGGGAGAAAGGACAGAGAGAGACGGGAGAGAATAATGGAGGAGACGAGATCGAGATTCAAGAGGATTTGTGTGTTCTGTGGTAGCAGTCCAGGGAAGAAAGCAAGCTATCAAGAAGCTGCCGTTGAGCTGGGGAAGGAACTGGTAATAATGGGTTCTTCTTTATTCCTGTCAGTAATAGCTTGTACTATTGAAAATTTTACTTCTTTCAGGGATGAGCTCTGAACTGGGATTTCCTTCCACAGTTGATAAAAAATTCAAACCACCCAATGAAACCAGTTTTGAATGCTCCGTTTATCATTTCAGGATTCGATTTTGTTTCCGCCATCATTTTTGCTTTGCTCCGGTTCCATTTTCGTTCTAGAAGGAATCATGGGGTTTCTGAGATTGGATTTCATAAATGGGTTTTTGGGTTTTTAATTGTTTGTTCCATTCAAATGGGTAGTCTTTATGAACATTGATTTGTATGTGTGTGAACTGTGGAGTGGAACTCCGTCTCTGGTTTTCCTTCCTTTTGTTGCGGGTATTTGTTAGTGCATTTATAGCTGTTGTTTTCTTATAGGAGTGCAATCTGATCTAACTCATCTAAGACAAGCTTCCTTTTCTGTCTTCGGGGTGTCGTCTTCTGTTCCGTGGCGTGTTGCTCGTCTTAATTCTCTGCAAATTTTTCTTTCTTCTTTGGTGGGTATGTGAGTGTATGTTATAACAAACAGGCTTTTAACGTGGGATTATTATTGTTGGTGAATTGCTGGGCTTCTGAGTTTATTTTTGGCATGAGAGGTTGCTAGCTGTAATCTGCCTGTCTGCTTAGCAGCTTTCTTGCATGATCTCTCTCTCTCTCTCAGTCTCAGAGAGAGAAAAAACAAAATAATTAAAATTTCTCCTGCTTTTCCCTAGGGAACAAACGTGCTACCTTGGTATCATGACACATTAAGCATGTTTTCTTGAGTACCTCCATAACCCATCCACATACTCTTCTCACTCCCCATGACAAAGCTCCATGTTTTTTGTTTATGGGTTCCATGAATATAGATCATCACTGGCTAGTTTCTCAGGGTTCTAAATTTGACCAGTCTTCTTATGATTAGTGTATCAGTTTATTTAATGTCTCTAATATTTAATTGATAAAATAGTGTTGGTTTCCGATCTGATTATTATGACTGACACCTCCTGCTACGTGGGTTTACATTTCGATGTGTTTGAAGGTGGAGAGAAGGATTGATTTGGTTTACGGAGGTGGGAGCGTAGGACTCATGGGTCTCGTTTCTCAGGCTGTTCATGATGGTGGGCGCCATGTTCTAGGGTTGGTTCTCTCTCTCTCTCTCTCTCTCCTTTTTCTTATTTGGTTACCACAACAAAGAAGTTCATAAGATTAGTGCCTTGTATTTCATGATTTCTGCTTCTGGTTTAGTCGATTTGGTTCTTGTTCTTATACTAATAGTTACTAATGGTAAGCAACAGTTTTTTTTAATTATTTTTCTAAACCATGACATGGGAATTCCTCCGTTGTTTTGTTAACTTTATTGGTTGGAATGTCGGCATATATACTTCTTTTCAACAAGGGATTCTTTATATGAGTGGGTCTCTGAGTACTGTAAATATGACTCCCATGCATTTAGAAAATTGTTCTTTTGTCTAGAGCAAGATCAAGGTATCTGTTTCACTTGGTTCTTCCAACATTTTGTGAGCTTTTCATCAGTATGATAAAAGTGAAATCAGTTTTGGTCTTGATAATGTTAGTACATTCTGAAACAATGGTTAGGAAAAGCTTGGTAAAAGCTTCTTAACTTTCCATTTTCTTTTCGACAACTGTGGAAGTGGAAAACTGAAGAAGCTTTTTACCCTTTCTTAGTAGAAACATATGAACAGTTGTGTTCGACGGTAATGCAATTTTTGTCTACTGATTCTTCCATTGGAAGCCAAGGTTTCTTTATATTTCTTTCAATGCTTTTGTCCAAGAGTTAAAGGAATGCTGCTTGCTACGTCTGGGTAGTAACTGACATGAGTTGATGGGTTTTGTTTGTAGGGTTATTCCCAAGACTCTAATGCCCAGGGAGGTAACTTCATATTGACTCAACTTTACAAATCCCTTTTAATTTGCATTTAATTTGTCTGTTAATAAGCATATTAAACCCTGAATCCAAATCGACATATCGCTTCTGACCCGCTTCAGTGTCCTTTTCTGGCTACTCTCATTTCTTAAGCTGTATGCTCTCGATTTATTAGTGTTTGGGTGGCTTCAAGAATTAGAAACAACAATATATGTTGCGTTTGGGTGTGGGTCAAATCTGGTGTTACGGGCTTTCAAAACTACGAATTTGAATTAAAGTGGTGGGAATTCGTTGTTAAAAACAATAATGTTGAAGGAGAAATAATTGTTAAGATGTTTGGTAGGTTGGCTTTAAAGAACATTGCAACAGTCTTCACTCTGTTCATGATCAACCAATGTCTATGTTCTAGTGATTTATCTGCCCCGAAAACCAAAAGTTATTCAAGCATGCAAGTGTAGAAAATATAACATGGGTGTGGCATTGCAGATAACTGGTGAAACTGTTGGGGAAGTGAGAGCTGTATCTGATATGCACCAAAGGAAAGCTGAGATGGCTCGTCAAGCCGATGCATTCATTGCTCTTCCTGGTATTGACTGAATGTTTAGACCCCCTCAGATTTTCATTTAATGAGTAGTCAATATAGTTTTCTTGCTTAGAAGTCTACATTACAGTATTATTATTTAATGTACCTTGAATTATCATAATTGTAGTTACTATTTTTAACATCAGGTGGGTATGGGACCCTTGAAGAATTGCTAGAAGTCATCACTTGGGCCCAGCTTGGAATTCATCAAAAACCAGTAAGCCTTTCTTTTCCTTTAAACAATCTGTTGGGTTACTGGGATGAATGGTTTCCATTCTTATCCACAATAGCTTAAGTTGAAATACCTACAGTTTCCATTCTTTGCTCTCATTTCCTTGAAATGATCTGTGTTCGGTTATGCCTTTCATGACTGCATCAAGACAAAGATAAAAACATCTAATATGCTAGCTTATGTTTCTTTCATCCAAGCTTCGATACATGTTTTTTACCTTTTCTTGCCATCTTTTAACCTTGAGTTTGTCACCATGGCTGAGAGGGTTTCTAATTCTATGTGTGGGAATAGCTTAGAAAGTTGAAAATTTAGAACTCAATCAAAGGCCTTGATTGCTGATGTCTGGCTGTGATGTTTTGCATCATTGGGGGTTTTAACATTATTATTTTGACCAAAGTTAGCATTTCTGCAGGTGGGTCTCTTGAATGTGGATGGATACTACAATTCCTTGTTGTCTTTTATAGATAAAGCCGTGGATGAAGGATTCATCTCTCCTACCGCACGATGCATTATTGTATCTGCCCCAACGGCAAAGCAATTAGTGAGGGAACTAGAGGTACCAAACAACAAAATAAAGAGAAGAATCTCCTAGACAATTCAAATCCTACTTTTAATTTTTTGAGACGTAATCCCTTGTCATTCCTTTTATTCCTCCTGTCTATCCTTTTTACTTTTGAATCTGGGGATGTTTTGACTTGAGATACCAACTACTAATCTTGTGTCATGTTATGCTAAAGAAATGAAGTTGGGTATGAAAATCAGAGATCTTTTCTGTTTCTTTTAGTTTTCTTTAGCACTGAATAGGGAAAATAAGATTCAACTCGGTATTGTTCCATCTTTGTGTATCAGGAATACGTTCCGCATTATGATGAGATTACATCCAAGTTGGTGTGGGAGGTGGAGAGACTAAGCTACGTCCCAGAATCTGGTGTTGCTACGTAACATGGTGGATAGATGGATGGGGGTGGAGTGTATATGCTTCCTTTTGGCTTCTTAACATACATATATATAGAATTCTACTTACATCTACAATTTCGGGTATAGTTATTTTTTGGTAAAGCAATGTGGAAAATTGTCTAGGGAACTTGGTGTTATTATTAGAAATTTATAATTTCCATTCTCTCTCTCTCTCTCTCTCTCTCATCCTTTTTAGAGGGTGCTTTATTGAAAGTCCATTCATGAGGGATTGGTGAATTAAAAGGTATGAATTGAATCACTGATTGTGGATGAATGGAATTCATTGTGATGTGGTGGGACAGTTTTTGAGTGCAATATATGGATAAATATATATACATGGCATCAGTCAAAGTTGATGGCCAAATGCCTAAGATCATGTTACAAGTGAACTCTTGGTTTTCAGGTCTTGGTGTGAACCCATTCATTAATGATGTTTATTCTTCATAATATTTTAGGGGTTTGGTTGGAAGGACAGACACAACACACTCTTAAATGTACTTTTTTCGGATTAAATGTTTTGTCAATTGTCAAAATCCCCATCTCTCCCTTTTGTCTCTGACCACAAGATTCCTTGTCGTAGCTTAATGGATTAAGCCCTGTAGAGAAGAATCAGGATTAGGCCCAAAGCTTGGGCCTTGGAGGCTAGGTCGATGACCCAACCCAAATGACAATAACCAGTCGGGCCCACGTTAATTGTCATTTTGTCCTAGTCAAGATGTTCTCGCCCACTTGTGTGGGGTCCCCTGATGCCAATTAACAAAATTGAAGTCTACGCAGCCTCTGAAACAGGCCCAGACGCGTATCCAGCAATAGGAAATCAGGCCATCTCTAGGATGGATTTTAAAGATTGAAACCTGAATCAATTTGTAATCATGATTAATACTTTGATACCCGAATCATATGGTTCAGAGACCTCAGTCATGCTTGTTTTCTGGTTCCTTGGGGGACCCTCTTACTGATGGGAGTGGGATCTATCTAATGGTGGGTCCCGATGTTCTGAGCATCTGCTACTGGCAGGTTACAAGGACACAAAACGAAGACAAATGTGATGCACAGATTGATTCAGAACAAGTCAGAACATAATTGGGTCGAATCGGCGGTCATTTTGATTCTTTGTAAGCATAAAGCCACAACCGGTTTAATCGGATCGGATTTAGATACCCATGACGGCCCGAATCGGAATAAGGGCCATTTGATAACAGCTGACATGGAATTCTTACTGAAGCTGACAGCCTGAAGTTATGAAGTCTACTAGTCCAAAACAAGCAAGGAAAACGAGGCTGGAGAAAGATTTGATTGTCAAAAATTATTAGGGTAAACTACAGATCCAGAACCACCGATGCATAAATGCTTTAAAATTTTTAAACTTTAGGATGACAGATTTCATCCCTCTAACGCGTAAAAAATGAAAAAAAAATGGTAAAAAAAAATAAATTTGAGTATTGGTTATATACATACACACCAATACCCATTTTTAGGTTTCGGATGTATTAATATTTTAATCCTTACTCTGAAACAAGGTTCAAAATATTAATATCCATCTGGCCGATATGTGTTGTATCGAGAGCTTCTCGTACGCCCTATAGAGGGTGTATCAGGGTTTTGACTGATTCAGGGAATAAACAGACCTTAAACCGGATTTTAAAAAAAATTACTGATACTGCCTCTATTGACATTTGGGCGTATCAATATCTTGAACCTTACTCTAAGCTTTGATTTGCAACAATAACCCTCCTGAACTTTGAACCAGCACTTTGCTGCTGGATGGGATCTGCTAATGGGGTTGATTGTGAATAAAATTACTAAATTCTCCATTTGAGATTTTGTAGACAGAACAACAAATACCAAAACGATGAAAACCATTCCAAAACACGAATCCTCGAGATGTTATCAAACCATCATTTTTCAAGGCATCCTCAATGTGAACTTAACTTGGATGAAAAGAAATGTTAAGAAGAGAAAGATGTGAGTTATGATTTAAAATATATATATATATATATATATATATATAGTTAAAAAGGACAAATGGTATCATAAAATGTGCCATAACCCAACAGTTCGGGGGGAGGGGGTCTTTTGTCGCAAAACAAAGCTCCGGGGCTGGCACTAAAACGTCACTACCCCTAAGTACAGGTTGGCTCTATAGTTTACCCAATATTTCAAGAATATTCTTGCAATTCTGTTTATACTCTTGTGCTACCCTCATATTTTCATCCAGTACCGTTGGATTCCATCTCTTTGTTTCAAGGTCCACCTATAATGAATGATACAAACAAAACATACAATACAAAACTAGTGCTGCAACTTGGGCTGGCTTAGCCCCAACCCAGCCCAAAAATGTAGAGTTGGTTGATGTTTGGGTTCGGGTTGAAGAGTATGGACCCAACTTAACTTTGGATTGGGTTAGGGTTGAAACCATGACCAATCCGAATCAACCTGAACATGAATTGATTTCATATTTGCAGTTATAAATAGTATACAATTATGTATTTATGCATCAATAAATGTATATTTATATATGTTTTCCCAAAAAATATGTGTATTTATCTGTATATACATATGTGTACATATATGCATATTCATTGAATATCAAAAGTTTTAAATTTACAATTTTTTTTTCCAAACATGATAACCATCCTATTTTACACATAGTAATGCTAATATTAAACTAACATGAACCCTATCCTAAGCCCAACCAAAGCCTTGTTGGAGTCTAAGTAATAAGTACATTTAACAAAAGGAAATAGAGAAGCCGGGCCAGTCTAAGCCCGACCAGAATGCAACCCTGTCCTAATCTATCCCGAAGTTTTAGGCTTGGATTAAAGTTGACCCAACCCGACCAGACTTGCACCCCTACGCAAAACGATGGCCCAGCTATTGTACACAATCCATCCATCTTTAAGACCCCGTCAGTATGGTCATCTCAACATATCCAGATCCAAGATGCCAAACAGTCCGTTGTCCGTAGTCCGTAGATAATCAACCTCTTTCATTATAATTGACTAAATAATTAGAATTTAGAACATAGAGCAAAACAAACCCCAATAGATCTTTCTTGTTACAGGATTTGGTGTAAGGTTTAACCAAGTCAACAAAATCTTAGTCAGCGATCAAACTCTCTTGTAAAGGGTTGGTCAAATCAATGCCATCAGGCCATGGTTGACCAGATTTGGGCCCAAGAAGAAAATGGTGCCCAAGACCTTTTAGGTTGGATAAGGATCCAAAATGTTTACTTTGCCAAACGTATAGGCGATTTTAAACAAGGGCTGAAATCATGGAATAAATGCACTTCTAGGGAGATAAACTGTCAACAACAAAGAGTTAAGTGAAAAGCAGCTAGAGTAACGGGATATGTAGTTTAAAAGAGGGAAGAGATGTTGTGGGCCTGTGGCCTTGTGGGTGCAAAAGGCAAGAGTGAAGAATTCACATCTGTGCCCCACAGCACATCTCAACTGTGAATTGGGAACATCTCCCAATGACAATTAATGGAGATGTTTCCAATGCACGCTGAGATGTGCATGTGGGGCACACATGTGAACTCAAGAGTGAAAAGGCGAAGGGATCAGCATGGGGCTAGATCGAAAATCAAGAAGCCTTGAGCAATTACTTGATCTAAAGAAACCAGTATCACCAGATTATCCCTCAATTAGATGAACCAACACAAAGCACCTAGACCAGACGAGCTTCAAAATTTTTCTTCCAAAAATATTGTACAGGGATGGGTTTGAGTGTTGAAGATGCAATGCAGGAATCTTTCCAATCTGAACGAGTGTTTAAAAGAATTAAACAACTCATTACCTTGATCCCAAAACCGAAAATACCCAATGATATATCTCACTATAAGCCAGCCAATCAATTTATGCAAACAAGCAATACCTCGTACAAAATAATTGCCCAAATACATCAATAACAATAATAGAAATAAGGAACACATATTTTAATAGTTTATGTGAAGTATGAACTAGCAGGATTTGGTCCAACTCGATCGAGTCCAATGTGAGTCCACTTACAAATGGACTAGACTCAATCCAGCCCAAATCCAATTTAATCCATTAAAATGTAAATGGACTGTATTGGATCCAATCCAAACCGAATGAAATATAAAAAAATATAAAAAGCATTTTTGTAAAAACACTTTTTATGAAAGTACTTCATAAAAGTATTTCTGTAGAAGTGTTTTATAAAAGTACTTTCGTATAAGTGCTTTTGTGAAAGCACTTTCGTAAAAATGCTTTTATAAAAGTATTTTCATATAAGTACTTTTATAAAAATACTTCCGTAAAAGTGCTTTTGTAAAAGTACTTTCGTAAAAATTCTTTTGTAAAATTGATTTCATAAAAGTACTTTTGTAAAAGTGGTTTCATAAAAGTGCTTTTATAAAACTGCTTCTATAAAAGTACTTTTCGTAAAATTACTTTTATAAAAGTGCTTTCATAAAAGTGATTTTATGTCAATTTTAGTTTGGTTTCAAATTGGACGAGTTTAGCCTCATGATCAAGTTATTGGAAATTTGGTTTAGGTCCAATTCAGACTAATAAAAATATGTACCAATTTACTTTGGATTGGTACAATCCAATAATTATAATAAATCATCCAAATCCAATTTAATAAGATTTAGATCAGATTGGATCTACTCCAAAACCAGTCGGACACCCCCAACTACCAGAACTAGGAGTGCAACTTGTTAGACTTTTGTCAAAATTTGAGTGCGTTTACGCTCAAGCCTGAAGCAGTGTAAAGTGATAAATCAGGTCAACCCGAGTTGCACCCCTGGTCCGCAACACACTTGGGAAATGTTGAAAAACGACATAAGTTCAAAATTATCTGTTTAGAATACTAGTATAATTCTTGTTAATATTCATGGATACATAAATTTTAACAAATGATAGACTTTTTAGAAGAGAAAATGTGTAGAGAGCTACAATTTAGGGCCACGTCATGCAATCATGACAACTTGCTAAAGCATGGTGAAGTGGTCTCAGCTTATTGTCTTTCAACTTATAGACATGGGTTCAAATCGTGTTAGTTGTAAGTTTCATTCTATCAAATTATGGCTCGAGCAGAAGTTAATTATATTCATTGAAAAAAAAAGGAGCGCAAGCTGCCCACCAAAGCCCCTATCATAATGATAATAATCGATACACTGCCCGCCATATTGGTTGATTTTGGAATGGAATTTTTGCCATTCCAAAACTGATAATATGATGTATCATCCAATGCGTATTAACATTCCAAAACTAATAATATGGAATTTTTGCCATGAGGATTACTAGATTCTTATAAATATATATATATATATAT